TTGTTGGAGTGCAGTGAGTGCACTGTTCTGTGCTTCTTAATGGCTGTATTTAAATTTCTGTCGGGTGTCTTCTGGTGCAAACAGCCCAAGTGCTTATCACTGCAAATCCCATCACGTAGCGTGTTGTTAGGACACTGGATTACAATGTAACCTGCTCACCTAATGTTTACATTTGTAATGTTTATGTTATTTGTTAATTGATAATCACCTCATGCGGAATTTGTCTAATTTTGGAGGCTGCTACTGTCCACCGGAGGTCGCATTTTCGGTTGCAGATTCATACTTTTGAGGGCCTTCCTGACTGAACGAATGAAATACGCTGTTTTCCATCAAGGCAACCCAGGGTGCTGAAATATAATTGGTTAAACTGCCATCGGGCGGGACCAAAACAAAGACAGGCTTTCTGGCACGTAACGCACATTTTCAAAGCAGAATATCTGACTTCATCAGATAAACAAGAATGTTCACTTAGCATGTTTCTTAATATCTGCAAACAAATTAAGGTATTTTTATGCTTTAGAAGAGTCAAAACCTTACATACAGCACCTTTAACTATAATCCAGTGAAAGTTTATCATTTGCATGTGATTTTAGGGCTCGTGACTGTGTATGCATTGAGGCACCAGAGAATTTAAAGTATTCAGGCACAAACAATTACACTATTTATAACTTTAATTTCAAGAGTTCCCACTTAGATATGCTTGGCGTTTATAACAGGTTTGTCATATAATAAACAAGCATATAAAGGGACCCGAGATCAGGTATGTCTTGAGAGCTCACCCTTAGAAAAGGGAGGAAAAGGAGGAGATAGGGTGGAAGGGGGGATTGTTCCATTACGAAGATAGAGCAGTAGGGAGAAACTGATCCATTTATGGTAACCTTGGATCACTCTGATTGGATTATTAATGATTACAGATGAGAAGCCAGTCGTGCTCAATCATATCACGTGCTCCTCTCGAAATTAGTTTGTGAAACTTCACTAAGTTGTGATGTATTGAATAATTTATACAATGGATAATATAGACCTTTTTCTTGGAACGCAAAATTACCCATTATGCTTTGCGTGTATGCGCAAGGAGAATGCGAAGAACTTCCAGTCGGCAGCTGATGCGTGTAAACAGTCACATTTGGACAGCTTTGAAACGATAGTTTTAATCTATTTTACCTGCTTTTATCCTCTTTGAACTAATACTGTTGTCCATCAGCGCCACCCCCTGGACTGATCATTTAAAGAAATGCGATCTAATAGGATGAAAAACAGCTGCTGTGAGGCATTTTCCCCTCATTGTCAGACGGCATCTTCTGCAGTTTAAATGAAGCCTTGTCATCGCTAAAGTCAACATTTTCTATTTATTTCAAATATATAACCAGCCCAAACAAATGTAATTCACCAAAATGTTTGACACACACACGTAGCCTGTACTGTGCCACTGATACACTGATTTAATAACTGTGACAAAGTGAAAATATAGGCTAGTGTCATTTCGAGATGACAGAAAAACACAAACCGTGGTGAATACAACACACGAAATAAAACACAAACAGCACTTGATTAGAATGAACAGCAAATCAGCCAGCAGAGGATCAATAACAGACTTTTATTGGTCATTTTTGTAAATTGCTCGACTTTCATACCTGTTAAGTTTCATGCCAGTACTCTGGTTTGCTCTCTCTCTCTCTCTCTCTCTCTCTGTGTGTTAAAGAGCCGCTGAGCTAACAGCTGACAGGCCGGGAACGCACACACACACTGTATTTCTGACGGCAGACACGTGAACTAGGAGAACGTTTTTCTCGTATTTCTGACGCGCTTGAACCACATGTGACAGATTATAACGGCTTTAACAGACACATTTCTAAGATGTGTGTCACAAAAACACTCTGTTATCCATTAAAAACGTCATTGAAACCCATTTACGGAGCGCAAATTACCAGTTGTACACGCTGTAAACGGAAGTTTTTAGCATTCTACCGGAAGACGCAGGTCGCTATGGTGCCTTCCATGCAGCAGCCATGAAAAAGGTCTATAGCGTTGTTTTACATTGAAGTTTTCAATTTCATTACCTGAATACTGTTAGACTCTCCAGGAAACACTGTATATTTCCCTTTTATTTTTAATATGTTCTATTTTATGAGTGAATCAACAGAAAAGGCCCAAATCAGTCTAAATCAATGAACTCTTTCTAAATAGAGCTGTTCAAGCTATTTAGTGAAATTGTGTTCATATTGCAATATACAGTTGATGTCAGAATTATTTGCCCTCCTGTAAATTTGTTTTTCTTTTTCAAATATTTCCCAAATGATGTTCAATAGAGCAAGGGATTTTTTTTCACGGTATTTCTTATTGTCATATTTTTTTCCAATATTGTGCAGCCCTACTTTTTATCTAAACAAATCTTAGCTAACTTGCTTGAAATGAAAACGTGTGTGTCTGACCAGTTTCTCGAAGCCCATGTAGGGAATGTTGCAGATTACAGAGGCGTCCTCCGTGTGTTTGCAGTCTTCAGCAGTGATACTCTGATGAGGACAGTCCCACAGACTCTTCTCATCCCCACCACACTGGACCTCATTCATGTAGATGGGACCCATACCTGTGGATAGGAGACCATAATAGGCTTATAATTGGTGATTGATCCACTCATGCAAGGGGATAAATGGCTGCCATGTGGCTGGTGACTATTCTACCAACATGTATGCAACAGAATATACATTAAGAACATTTTGTGAAAACCAATCTAATTGTTAATACTATTAGAATTGAATAAAACCTAAACATTTTGCTAAGCATCATTTTTATTTCCATATAAAGCAGTCAATTCTCAAAGTTGTCTCAAACTTTTGTCAAGCACTTTTAGTTCACGTGAAGCAATTTTTATTTTAAACAAAGCTGCTCTAAGAAACAGAAAAGTTTGTTCAGATCACAAGCTTTACATTTGTTAAAAAATGTTACCGGCCAATTGGTGAGAGTGAGGAAAACTATTTAAACTGACCATAAAAAAATTAGCTGACCATATATATATATATATATATATATATATATATATATATATATTTTTTTTTTTTTTTTTTTTTTTTGAAGTCAGAATTATTAGCCCCCATTGATTTTTCCCCCTTTTTTAAAAATATTTCCCAAATGATGTTTAATAGAGCAATGACATTTTCACAGTATGTCTGATAATATTTTTTTCTTCTGGAGAAAGTCTTATTTGTTTTATTTCTGATAGAATAAAAGCAGTTTTCAATTTTTTAAAAGCTATTTTAAAGACAAAATTATTAGTCCCTTTAAGCAATTTTTTTTCCGATAGTCTACAGAACAAACCATCATTATACAATAACTTGCATAATCACCCTAACCTGCCTAGTTAACCTAATTAACCTAGTTAAGCCTTTAAATGTCACTTTAAGCTGAATAAAAGTGTCTTGAAAAATATTTAGTAAAATATTATTTACTATCATCATGGCAAAGATAAAAAAGCAGTTATTAGAAATGAGTTAATAAAACTATCATGTTTGAAAATGTGTTGAACAAATTTTCTCTCCCTTAAACAGAAATTAGGGGAGATAAAATAAACAGTGGGGCTAATAATTCAGGGGGGCTAATAATTCTGACTTCAACTGTATATTTGTTTTTGAATAGTTTATATAGACATCAAGAAATGTACAAAACTATCTATAAAAGCTCTGAATAATCAGCCAAAATCTACTTACCAACCAATGAAATAAACAATGATTCATTGATTAATCACTAATAATTATATATAAAACAATCAATTAACCAAACACCTTTTTTATGGTCCTAGTGGAATGTAAGTTATATTTACAGTGTCTCCGCGGGATCTTAAAAAGTCTTAAATTTCAAAAACAAAGGGCTTATGATTAGTCTTAAATTGGCTGATAAGTTGTGTTTTAAATAATTTTAAACAGGTCTTAATTTTCCTATCTCCATTTAAAGTCACCCATTTAGGCTTACACCCATCCAAATACCATTTCATTTTAATAAAACTTTTTAACAAAAGTTTATTTAACTCTATTTACCAATAACGTATAATTATCTATTTTTACAAATCATTTGTTTTTAATCTTTTATTTTTATGTTTTAACTGGGCCACTGGGCTGGAAGGGCATCCGCTGCGTAAAAACATGCTGGATAAGTTGGCGGTTCCATTTCTTGTGGCGATCCCTGATTAATATAGGGACTAAGTCGACAAGAAAATGAATGAATAGGCCACTGAAAAAAATACTTAGGATTAAGCCTTGTGCAAGTCTTAAATTTCATTCATAATGGTCTTAAAAAGTCTTAAATTTGACTTCATGAAACTTGTAGAAACCTTATATTTACTCATCAGCTCAGATTAAAATTTTTGTTTGATTTTTAAAGATTGTTATGTTTTTTTATTTGTGACCCTGAACCACAAAATCAGTTCTATATTGCATGATCATATTTTTGGCAATAGCCAAAAAAACATTTTATTGGCTAAAATGATAGATTTTTATTTATGAGATAAATTATTATAATATCAAGTAAATCATGTTCCATGATGATATTTTGTAAATATCCTTTTAAAGTATACGGCAGCTTAATTTTGGATTAGTAATAAGCATTCAAACTAAAACTGGACAATTTTAAGGGCCGGCTTCTGAGTATTTAGATTTTTTTAAGCCTCAGTTTACAGATTTTTAAATAGTTGTATCTCCATCAAATATTATCCCATCCTAACAACCATACATCAATGGAAAACCTATTTATTCAGCTTTTAGATGATGTATAAATCTCAATCCCCCCCCCCCCAAAAAAAACAATTATGCCTGGCTTTTGTGGTCCAGTGTCACAAATGTCTGTATAAGTGTACTTGTTTTTATGTTTTTACATCCCATGGGGCTTAAACTTGAATGTACAGAGCCTCGCAGGGACCAAAATCGAGGTGAGCATGCTTTGAAATCTCACAGAATGAAATTTTTTTAAAAATATAAAAGTGCCGATTGTTTCCTGTGAGGGTTGAGTTTAGAGGTAGAGGAGAGATATTTACATAATAAAAACATCATTACGTCTATAAGAGTCCCTGCATGGATATTGGAACAAGAGTGTATGTGTGAGTTTAGTAGTTAGATGGATGCTCACCCTGGCCCATTCGTGCTCCGGTCAGAGCCTCTTTAGCAGTACCGAAGCCCAGCTCTCTGCACACCACACTGGCAGACTGCAGGTTCCAGTGGTCGTCACACACTGTACCCCACTCGCTGCCCTTCAGGACCTCCACACGGCCCTCTCCTGCCCTTGCACCACCCTTCAGCCGCATCTGAGGCTGCAGAACATGTAAGAGCACCATCAATACAAGCAACAATACAGATATTCATAGAAATGCTGCTGATATTTCCTATACACAAAAACTCCTTGTCTAGTAAAGGGTTATTATCTGATTTCTACACAAAGACAACCATCTTGATCTTGTTTTAGGAATAAAATACCACGCAAGATCAGACTGCGTAAGATTATTATGATTGTTTAAGATGATTTGTTTTACTTAAACTTAAACCTTTTACCTGCAGCTTAGTTACAATCAGAGACATAATTTAAGACCAGTCTTGCATTTTCAGATTTCAGTTTTAGAAAGGGCAAACATTTTTATTCTTAATGACAAGCACAGAGGAATCATTCACCACAAAACTAGCAATGTGAGCGAACAAAATCAATATAGTTAGTTTTGATTCCATGTGTTCTTTCGCATTTAGAAGGTTTTGTTGCAGTGCAATCAGAAATCCTAAATGACAATATAAAATTAACGGATTTTAAAAAGAATGGCATTATGTGCTCACCACTGGATTGAGCTTGGCTTTGCGTACTCTACCCTGTGTGAACTGCAGCCCGGGCACACAGCTGACTACAGCAGCTCCTCCACCAGGACAGGGGGCGCTAGAGTTGGCCCTGCTGAACTCCATCGTGCATGCAGAAAGATGAGCCTCGTTCCCTGAGCAGGTCACTGAATGGATACGGTAAGCGCTCTTCAGACTAAACAGAAACACAAAAATTAATATGTAAAGATTAATTAGCTACATCTGTATGAGCAATAATATAATAGTAGCGATTTATTATGTACCACATACAGTTGACGTCAAAATGATTTGCCATCCTGTGAATTTTTCTTTCTTTTTTTTTTTTTATATTTCCCAAATGATGTTTAACAGAGCAAGGAATTTTTCACAGTATTTCTTATAATATTTTTTCTTCTGGAGAAAGTCTTATTTGTTTTATTTCAGCTAAAATAAAAGCAGTTGTTATTTTTTTTTTTACATTTTAAGGTCAAAATTATTAGCCTTTTAAGCTATATTTAATTTTAATCGTCTACAGAAAAAACCATCATTATATAATGACTTGCCTAATTACCCCTGACTTGCCTAATTAACATAATTAAGCCTTTAAACGTCACTTTAAGCTGAATACTAGTATATTGAACAATATCTAGTCAATTATTATTTACTGTCATCATGGCAAAGATTAAATAAATCCACTATTAGAAATGAGTTATTAAAACTATTATGTTTAGAAATGAGTTAAACAGAAATTGGGAACAAAATATACAGGGGGGCTAATAATTCTGACTTCCAATATAATTCACCTAAGACAAGGAGCCTGAATGGAAAGCCTGGCAGATTTATCACATTCTATCAGCTTGCTGTGAAATACTGGACTCCAGTTTGCTGTGAACAAATAGTGCATGCTGACATTGCGTTTCCAGTTACGTTAAATTTTGGAGCTCTATGTAGTAAGTCTACTTTTATTTGATCAAAAAGACTATAATATTGGTAACTATTCAAAATGATATGTTGTTTTATTATAAAATGATGAAAGACATCCAAAAATTCTCAAAAAAAATTCTGTCAGCATTTACTCTCACTTTGTGAAGTTTATTTATAAAATAATTTCGAGAGGATCACATGCTTATAATTGATTGCGGCTGGCCCCGCATTATCCAATTTATGATTCACCAATTAGATGATTCCTAGGCCATTAAAAATACCCTAAGTTCCATATAACAGCCATCTTCGTTTTGAAGAATCCCTTCCACCCCTACTCCTCCTCCTTTCCTAGATGGATGGCACAGTGGCCCAGTGATTAGCACTGTTGCCTCACAGCAAGAACATCACAGTTCAAGTCCTTATTAAGCCAGCCGACGTTTACGTGTACACGTTCTCACTTCTATAAAGCTTAAAGTGACATTTATAGGCTTAACTAAATAACTAGGCAGGTTAGGGTAATTAGGCAAGTTATTGTATAACAATGGTTTGTAGACTATTGAAAAAAAAATAGCTTAAAGGGGCTAATAATTTTGTCCCAAAAATATTTAAACAAAAATTAAAAACTGCTTTTATTCTAGCCAAAATAAACCAAATTAGACTTTCTCCAGAAGAAAAAAATATTATCAGACATACTGTGAAAATTTCCTTGCTCTGTTTTTCACATTTTAATCAGCTTTCCTGTATTTTAGCATACAAATACTTTCCAGGGCCACTGTACAGATAATAAAACCTTTTTATAAAATTCCTGGAAAGTACAGGCATTAATATAGTGTCTCGGATTGCTTTTTAATGTGCAGAGTGAGCTATTTCTAGCCAAGCACTTGTGGCACGAGCATGATATGAATGTCAAAATTACAAAGACGAAGAGAAGTACAGTATTTCTCATTTTTCCTCTCTGTAAATTATGTCAGAACCCATGATCATTTAAAAGCTGTGGAAAAGATAAATGGCAGCTTTTTCATCCATCGAATATTACTTGTGTTTAGTCAGCTGGTAGACTTTAATATTAAGCGGCAATAAGTGTAAATAAAATAGTCTTCTGTCAAGGACGTCAGAATGATGAGCAGCGTGTTTTTGGAGTTTAACTCCAGCATGCTGAGGACTTGAGCTCATGTCTGAGGAGGAATGAGTCTCTCAGTGGGTTTAATTCACACACACTGAGTGCATTTGTTAAAATGACAGCTATTCTCAGACAAATGCACACGTGAATTCTCAATTGCTAGCTTGTTTTTCGGTGCCGTCACAAACTGCTTACATTTCACCATCTGCTGTGAATCGGAGTAAGTGTCTGGGATCAGATGTGGATGATTGTTCCAGCACAGATGGAGAAGAGAAGCTATACAAGCACAGCAAAACAAAGCGAGGAGACTGCATGGAATCACACTGAAGCTTCATTACAGGATCTGAGGAAACCTGCCGCTACAAGCTGGAGTGTTTTGGGTGGTTTCCAGATCACTGTGTTTTCTAAAAGCGTATTTACTCCAGTTGAAGGGTATTTTCGTAAACTTAAACTGAAACTTAGACTAAAATAACATCTTTGCAAGCTGAAATTACCTACAAATTTCTATATTTATAAAAAACTAAAGCTTAAATAAAACAAATATTCTAAAAAAACTAATCGAACTAAAGTAATACCACAAATAATATGTTTTCAGCGCTCATTGTGTGGTGAAAAATCTGACCTGCGGCTGTTTAGTGAAGTACCTGCAGATTCACTGTAAAACAATATTGCTCCTTCAATATTTTTAGTCAGCTTGATTGATGCTAATGGGCGAGGCAGTGGCGCAGTAGGTAGTGCTGTCGCCTCACAGCAAGAAGGTCGCTGGGACGCTGGTTCGAGTCTCAGCTCAATTGGCGTTTCTGTGTGGAGTTTGCATGTGCTCCCTGCGTTCGCGTGAGTTTAGAAAATGAACAAAAGAATGATTGATGTTAATTGATTAAACTAAAAAAAAATAAGTTAAACTTTGTGCAAGTTCAAAAATTAAATAAAACCTGATTAACTTATTCAAATAAGTAAAAGCAAAATTAAAATATTTGTTGTCTTAACTTTTTGTCAATACATTTTTTATAGTGTGGAACTTCTACATCCAGATACTTTAGTTTCTTCACTTACTTATTTTCTCCCAGAGCTGTTTATACCGAAGTTGATATTTAGCCACACCATGTTGGTGCTTTGTAACAACTAATTTTTTACGAAGTGGGTCGTTGGCCCAACGCTCAACCCACAACCTGGAGGACATACACACATGCACTACGGACAATTTAGCTTACCCAATTCACCTACAGCACAATGTATTTGGACTTGGAAACCGGAGCACCCAGAGGAAACCCAAGCCAACACAGGGAGAACATGCAAACTCCACATAGAAATGCCAACTGGCCCAGCCGGGGCTGAAACCAGCAACCTTCTTGCTGTGAGGTGACAGCGCTACCCACAGCACCACCATGCTGCCCCATTAGTTTCTTAATCTGCCACAAATATAAACTAGACATGTTTAACAATATAATCTTTTATATGAAAAGGTTTATCTGAATTTTTCTTTTACAATTTTAAATTTGAATGATCTTGGGTTCATTCTTTGCTTTAATAATTTGTATTGTTATTATTAGAATATTTTAGTAAAAACAATATGTAAACTGTGCATTAATCTTTGCTTTGGTCTTCACTGAAAATGTTCTGGTAAGTCCCCTAAATTGTTGGCATTCATTAAATGAAATTGAAATGTGTTCACAAAATAAAAATAAACAACTAAAACTAAACTGAAACTTATAGCAAATTTTTAAATAATATATAAAATAACTAATAATTAATAATTTGACCGCACTGTAAAAGCAAAAAAAGTGATTATAGACCTAGATAGATCTGTTAAGTTGAATTAATTTTTAGAATTATGCATATAATTTGTTTAATTTTTTTCTAGTAAATCAAAACACACACACACACACACACACACACACACACACACACACACACACACACACACACATATATATATATATATATATATATATATATATATATATATATATATATATATATATATATATATATATTTCACTAAAAGTGGAAATCAGTTGTTTTGGCACTGTTTAAAGCAAATTCATTCTTCCGGTTTGAAAAGAATGTGTTGAAAGGTTAAAAATGATAAGGCAGTACTATCATCAACCAGATAATGTGACTGAAGGGAATCTGGTGGAGAGAAATCCTTTATTTGCAGACAGCTCTCAGATCTGCTGTAATTTGCTGTCCATCTCCCCTGTGTCTCTGTTTGGGTTGCCAGCAGCACATAACAAAACTCCCCTTTTCATGCAAAAAATTCCCTCTTTTGCCGCTGGACACTCCCACCTAAACCATGCTAGACAAACCCACTTTCCTTACTTTTTCAAACTAGAGAAAACACCCTGCTGACACAGTGGCCCTTTAAAGCAACAGGTTTGTTCACTTTTTAAAGGGCTCCTATAATGCCAAATCATCTTTTGGAAGCGTTCGGACAGAAGTGTGTGCAGGTATAGTGTGCACACAGTAGAATCAGAGTAATATAAACACAACTTAAATGTTAAGTTTCCTAATGTTAAACTAGGATCTAAATCCCAGCGATTTTGAGGCCCACCACACAGTGAGATAGCAGTGCGGTTTTCCCTGCCGACCGATAATGATTGACAGGCACGTATTATCATGACTCAGTTTTACCATGTATTATTATGTCATTTCATGTCATATTATCATTTGCTTCAGCATTTGGAGTGGAGCACCTCTGTTGATGTCAGTTTGATGCTTCAGCCACAATATTCTTAGCCACACCCCTCTTACTGTTAGTTAGCTGTGAGGGAATGATGCGCAAAAAGAAAGCCCCACTGCCTACTCAATGTCTAGTTTCAGTTGGAAGTGCATCAACATACTGAAATAAAAGTCTTTAACCTTCTGGTTTGATGCTTTAGCCACAAAATTCTTAGCCACACCCCTCTTACCATTACTTTGCTATGAAGGATTGATGCTAAAATATAAAGCCCGCCCCCTACACAATATTCCAAGTCATTTTGAAGTACATCAACATATTGAAATAAAAGTCTTTAAACTTCCAATTTTACACTTCAGCCACAATATTCATAGCCACACCCCCCTACCGTTATTTTGCTATGAGGGAATGATGCGCAAATATAAACCCCGCCCCCTACACAATATTCCAATTCATTTTGAAGTACATCAACATA